AAGCACCGCTGGGGTGGCCCAGGTCAGCTCACGCAGCATCACTTGCTCAGGTCCCTGCACTGATGCCCCCCTCCCCCCACCCAGGCGGCTTGGAATTAGTGGGAGGGTCCCCTGGGGGGGGGGGGTTGATCCTCACCACCACTGAAATAAAGATAAATCCTCAGGCCCAGGGAGGCTCTGTGGGAGTATCCCGGCCTTAGCATCCATGAGGGAGCCCTGGCCTCCTCTCTGACACTTCCCTCAGTGTGACCGCAACATGGCCAGGCCTGTGTGTCTAGGACAGGAGACGTCCGAGCAGGCCTGCCCGCTGAAGGGCACGAACGCAGGGTCCACACCCCTTGCAGAAGCTTAACAGCTTGCAACCTAGGGCGAGACAGGAGCTGGCAGAGATGATTTGCTTCCACAACTCCCGCTGCGGGCAGGACAGAGACTGCACGGGAAGACCCTTGCCTTGCCTACAGCCCACCTAGGTTCAAGTCCCAGCGCCACATCTAGTATCCGCAACCCCCCACCCGGGGTGGTCCCAGAGTAAGCGTGGCTCCCAAGCCAAACGGAGTCCTGCTGGGCTCATGAGGGCTTGAACCACTCTGAGCATGCGGCCAGGGAAAACGTCCGGGGAATGGGCTCAGTCACACAAGGCTCACCTCACCCAGGCCATCGGGGAGCCGACCAGGGGAGGGGCATGGGGAAAGACCCCGCTCTATTCTCCCCGGTCCTGGTGTGGCATCGTGGGCAGCCGGCTGCGGAGAAGTCACGGGGATCCCTCTGGGGCAGGCCTGGGGTTCACCTGGCACAGGAGACAGAGGCTACAGGTTAGTGGCCAGCGTCCACCGGTCCTGCCTCTGCTCCGAAGTCCCACCTGCTGTCGGGCCCCACCAGACACTTTCCTCGGGGTGACAGGGAAATGGAATGCGGAGGATGAGCAGGAGGAGACGAGCAGGCCCCTGGGACTCAGTACAGGGGTCAGCCCTAGCGTCCAAGCCTAAGTCGCCTCGGGACCCCGCCTGAATCCTTGTCACATCTTACCTTCCCGGAGAATGTGAACTCGGAAATGCCAGTCCTCAAAAAGGACAGGACAATGTAGCAAAAACAGGGGAACAGACAATGTAGCACAGAGCACTGGCTCCAGAGCTGGGAAACCAACATTCTCATTCCTTGGTGACTCCGGAGTGTCCCGGTGTGACCAGGGACCCCAAATTCCATTCGAAAAGTCTTGGCTTTGAGGGAAAGCCATCTATCTGTACGCGGTGCCGCTTTTGCCCTCGAGTTACGGTTGGTAAGAGAAATGCCACTTTAAAAAAAAAAGACATTTTCTCTTATTTCCCCATGCGGGAGCCTTCCTGGGCGTTGTGCGCTCCAAGCCCCGAGAGGCCTCTCCGGGAGGAACATAAGTGCTCCGGATTAAGCACCGCAGGGATCGGGACCGAGTCTCGGATTGACAAGAGCACAAGCCAGGGCTGCAGGGCGGCCCTGCTCCCACCTCCTGTTCTGGAGGGGCGTGCAGGACGGTCCCCCGAGGGGCGAGGGGCGCCGAGCTGGGACGACTTCCCAGGGCGAAGGTCCCCTCCCCACCTTCTCGGTGGGCTGATGCTCTGGGAAGCGGCTGGGCTGGGAAGAGGGGCTGGGGAGCGCGGTGGGGGCTGGGGGCGGCTCCTTTCCCTGTTCCCCCGGCTCTCGGATCGTGCCGGCCCGGTTCGGGGGTCCCTGCGGGCCAGGGCGGAGGAGGGGACTCCGCGCTGGCGTGGATCGCTGCAGCGAGGCGAGGGCTCCGCGAGCACTCCCGGCGCGAACGTGCTCGGGGATCCGAGCGTGGGCAAGGGGCAGCGCGGCGCGGCGGCTCCGAGGGGTCTCGGGGCGCTGGGAGCTGGGGGGGGGGTCCCCCCCCGGGGGTGGGCGTGCGGCAGGGGGACCCGCGGGCGGGAGGCGGCGAGTTCCGAGGGGGCCGAGCCGGCGAGGGTGTGCCCGCCGCGGGTGGGGGCGGGGGCGGCCCGGGGCGTCGGCGGCAGGTGGCGGGGAAGGGGGGTGGGGGCCGCGCGCCCTCCCCGATCCCCGCCCCCGGCTCGTCCCCGCCCCGCCGCGCCCCGACTCACATCGCCCCGCAGCCCGGGCGGCGCCGGGCCCCGCTCCCGGGTCCCGCTGCAGCAGCCGCCGCCCGCCCGCAGCCAGGCCCGCCCCGCCCCGCCCCGCGGCCGCGAGGTCGGAGGTCGGCAGCCGCACCAACGAGACGCCGCGGGCGGGCCGGCCCGATCGGGGGCGCCGGGCGCGCAGCCTAGAAGGTCCCTTTGGAGGACTTTGCAGTCGGGCACAGGGAGCATGCGCAGTCGCCAGAGGGCGCTCCCGGCCCGGGGCTGAGCGAGCGAGCGAGCCGGGGCGGGGCGGGGCCTGGAGGGGGCGGGGCCGGAGGGCGGGGACAGGGGCGGGGCTTGTCGGGGCCCCGCCCCTCGCCGGGCGGGGGGGCTTTACCAAATTCGGGGGCCGCAGCGTGGGGCCGAGAAGAGAGACCCAGAAGGCGGGGAGGGGTCTGGACAGGGCAGCGCAGGACGAAGAGGCGGGGAACAGGGAGAGGCCGGGTGGGAGGAGCAGGGACGAGGGGGACGGGGCTCAAGGGGGGGTCGAGGGGACGCGTAGAGGGGGGGCGCGGCAGTGCGGGGCGGCGGTCCCCACGGAGCCGCACTCTTGCCGCGACCCCACCCGAGCTCCCCTTCGCCCGCAGCCCCGGCCCAGCGCGGTGCCCCGAGCCAGACGGGGCGGGCAGGTGCCGCGGGGGGCGTGAGAGAGGAAGGACCGCGCCCCCGGGGCGGGCAGAGGCGGGCCTGGAGGCCTCTGGGGTGGGGACCCGGACCGAGGCCCCCTGGAGGGTCCCTGCAGCGAGCAGAGCAGCTGATCCCAGTGCAGTCGCCGTCCCTTCCTTGGAACGCGACCCCGGAGGGACCCCTTGAGAAGTTCAAGGAGGACGGGGGAGGGGATGGTAAGGTGGAGAATGACCCTTGGTGCACGGGACACTTTTGTCCCCTCTTCTTCCGGTCACTGTCCCGGACACCTTCCCAGCCAGGCCTTTTTGTCCTCAGGGTCGCTCGGGCACTGCCCTCCAGGGACGGTGTGTGGGGGTGGGGGAAGGGGGCCCTGAGCACCTGCTGGGTGGGTGTAGGGGGATTCGGCCTGTCACTTATCTCCCGGGGCAGGTGAAGGGGTTTCCAGAAGGAACCCAGCATGGTAGATGGGGTCCCGGGGCTGTAGAGTTGGGTGGCAGCGGGTGGATGGGTCAGACTCATTTCCCGGGTGTTTGGTTGTAGGACGGGTTTTCTCTCACCCGTAGGGGCCGTTCTGGGGCCCAGATGGACCCCACTTTCCCTAGCTGCCTGGACAGTGCCGACCAGAGCCCTGGGTGTGAACAGCCCCCCTCCCCCCCAAACTGCCTCCCCTGCCTTCCACAGGAAACTGATCCTGGTGACAGAACAGGAAGGAAGAAGGTGGGTGTGGGGCCGGGAACTGAGGGGTGCTGAGGGGGGCTCAGGGCTCGAGGCAGAGTAACTGCTAGCATCCCATCTCCCAAGCCTGGAATTTGGCTATGAACACCCCGCTCTGCACCCCTAAACTTTCCTTGGCCTTCTGAACTCACCCCAGTGACTTCATTGTTGTGGTTCAGCTGTAAAATGGGATCAATAAAAGCTTCAGGAGCCAGACTAATAGTACAGCGGGGTAGGGTGCGATCTGGGTTCGATCCCTAGCACCCCATATGGTCTGCTGAGCACTGCCAGGACTAATTTCTGAGTGCAGAGTCAGGAGTAACCCCCGAGTACCACCAGGTATGACTCCACAAAAAGCCAAAGCAAGAGCAACAACAAACCAATCCAACCCTACCTCGGAGGAAGAGATACACTGAGAATTATCTGGGCAGAAGCAGCTCGAGGTGTTTCTGGTCCCTCAAGGAGAAACGGAGAAACCACAGGAGAGGAGCTGAGAGGTGCAGGGAGCAAAGAGAGACAGTGGGACAGAGTCACAGCACGGGCTGTGTGTATTCACAGGAGTGAACACTCCAGGGGCTGGAATGGTAGCACAGCGGGAAGGGCGTTTGCCTGGCATGCGGCCGACCCGGGTTCGATTCCCAGCATCCCATAGGGTCCCCCTGGCACGGCCAGGAAGTGCGTGAACCAGGAGTAACCCCTGTGCATCGGCTGGGTGTGACCCAAAAAGGAAAAAAAAAAAAGAAGTGAATACTCCAGACACATAGCACCGGGGGGAGGGGAACTTGTGCTAGCTGGGGGGCTGAGGAGGGCGTTCTGGCCCCTGGTCGGCTCCTTTCAATTGGGCCCCCCCGAAGAGAGGCTGGCAGAGGGAGTGGGGAAACCAAATGCCCAGAAGAGAATAGTGGGAGGAGACGCCACAGGGACAGATGCCTGCTCCTTCCAGGGGGAACTCTTCTTTCCTCTACCTTAATTTTGGGAGACCCGAGTCTGAAGGTCGGGCTTCAAGATCTGGCTCTTGTCAGCCGTGTGGCTGCGGGCATACTATGGATGCTTGCTGGGCCTTGCTTTACCCATCTGTAAGATGGGGACAAGAATACTCCTGAGGGGGCTGGAGCGATAGCACAGCGGGTAGGGCGTTTGCCTTGCACGCGGCCAACCTGGGTTCCATTCCCGGCATCCCATATGGTTCCCTGAGCACTGCCAGGAGTAACCCCTGTGCATCACCTAGTGTAACCCCCAAAAAAAGCGAAAAAAAAAAAAAGCTCCGGAGACACAGGCTTTGAACGCAGAAGGCCCAGGTTCCATCCCGTCCCATTACACTACTGTTATTCTAGAGGCCACAGGACACTGACGATTCAGGTCTCATGATTCAGCTCATGCTTTAGCTCAGAACCACCTCCCACTCTCTCTGTGCTGACCCCCGGGGCTCCCAACGAAGGGGGGTTTGGGAGCCGTTCCCGACTGCAGCAGAGAGGGCAGTAAGGGGGGCCGTGGAGGACTAAGGAGAAAGTTCGCTCCACTCCTCCCCTCTGCATGTGTCCTCAGGATGCTGCAACGCTAAGCCTGGAGTTCCCTGGCCTGCAAACTAACCAGGAGCCCAAGTGGCCTGGGCTTCAGACACTCCTGCGGCAGCTCCCTCCGCAGGACAGCGGGGTGAGTGTCCTGCACCCCACCCCACTCCCCTCCCGCCCCCCCCGCCTCTTACTGGGTGGGGGGGTGCAGGGGACAGCCTTGGACTAATGGGACAAGACCACCCTCCCTCCTGGCCTGAGCGCTCCCATCTTTGGGGGCTGCCTCCCCACTCGACGCAAGAGCACATGAGCGGATGGACATGAGCTAGTGTGAACCCTTGGTCATGCAATGTACAAATGCAGAGCGGAGGGTTGTCACTGTGTTTATTGAGGTCCGATGTGCAGCTACCTAGAACACAGTTCCGTTTTGGGGACCCGGGCTTAGCTGGAGAGTGCCTGCCGGGCCTGGAGGATGCTCTGGGTTCTCCTCCCCAGCTAGCTCAGTCAGGGGTGCAGAACAGGGGTGCATGTGGGTCAGTGGGAGAGCCGCAGGGGACCCCGGCAGTGAGCTCTGGCTGCAGAGCTGGGGGCTGGGGTTCCAACAGTTGCCAAGAAGCAAAGCTGAGGGGACCACTCGCTTGTCCCCCAGGAGCCCCCTCCCCCAATCTTCTCTGCTCTTATCTCTCCTTGGACCCAGCAGCTGCACCTTCCCGGGGCGCACTCCCCCTCATCCCAGCTGGCGGGGGGTGAGTGCTCCCGGTTCCAGGTGGGATGCGGGCCTGTTTTCTGCAGGAGCGCTACTGCCTGGCCCTCGGCGGGGAGGAACTGCCGGCATTCCGGCTCTTCTGCGCCCAGCGGAGGCAGGAGGCCCTGGGACAGGGGGTGGCCCGCCCGGTGCCTCCCAAGCTCGAGGGACACACCTGCGAGCAGGTATGCTCCCGGACCCAGCCCCTCCGCAGCGCTCTCCGCCTCCCCTCACTGCTCTCTCACTTCTGCAGAGCTTCTGGGCCTCTGGGGGTGGTGGTGGTGGTGGTGGGGGGGGGTCTCAGGGTGCGACACTTTAGTGCGCCAAAGAGGAGCGGGCCTGGGGGACAGCTTGGCGGCGGGAGCGCGGTGCCCTGTGTCGGCCCGGGCGCCCCCTGCTGACGGCGCACGCTCAGTGCAGGGAGCCGCTGAGGCCCGGGGAGCCCGGCGTGTTCGCAACCCCCGCGGGGCAGCGGCGCTGCTGGCACCCCGCGTGCTTCACCTGCCGGGCGTGCGGCCAGGCCCTCGCTGACCTCATCTACTTCCACCACGACGGGCACCTCTACTGCGGCCGGCATCACGCCGAGCTGCTGCGGCCGCGCTGCCCGGCTTGTGACCAGGTACGTCCCTCCCCCAGGGGAGGGACAGCGGGTTGGGCGTCCGGGGGACAGGGGCACGGAGTGACCTGGAGCACGGCCGGGAGAAGGAGGGACCGGCCCGGGGACGGTTCTGTTCCTTCTGCTCGGTCGTGAGTGAGCGCAGGACCTGCGCCCACCCCTCACCAGCTCGAGCAGCGCCCTCGCCCCCACCCCGAGTATCTTGGACTGAGAGTATTTCCCTGGAGAGCAGAGGTCCTGGACGGACCATTGGTCTCCGATGGCACGATCTAGTGCCCGGCCAGCGTCAGGGACAGCGCAGGATCCGGGGCTGGGAGTCCAGGTGACTCGGGGGCCACCGGTCGTGCCCGGCCAGCGTGAGGGACAGCGCAGGGCCCGGGGCTGGGAGTTCAGGTGACTCGGGGGCCACCGGTCGCGCCCGGCCAGCGTCAGGGACAGTGCAGGGCCCGGGGCTGGGAGTCCAGGTGACTCGGGGGCCACCGATCGCGCCCGGCCAGCGTCAGGGACAGCGCAGGGCCCGGGGCTGGGAGTCCAGGAGACTCGGGGGCTACCGATCGCGCCCAGCCAACATCAGGGACAGCGCAGGACCCGGGGCTGGGGAGTCCAGGAGACTCGGGGGCCACCGGTCGTGCCCGGCCAGCGTCAGGGACAGCGCAGGGCCCGGGGCTGGGAGTCCAGGAGACTCGGGGGCCACCGATCGTGCCCGGCCAGCGTCAGGGACAGCGCAGGACCCAGGGCTGGGAGTCCAGGTAACTCGGGGGCCACCGGTCGTGCCGGGACAGCGCAGGGCCCGGGGCTGGGAGTCCAGGAGACTCGGGGGCCACCGATCGCGCCCGGCCAGCGTCAGGGACAGCGCAGGGCCCGGGGCTGGGAGTCCAGGTGACTCGGGGGCCACCGGTCGTGCCCGGCCAGCGTCAGGGACAGCGCAGGGCCCGGGGCTGGGAGTCCAGGAGACTCGGGGGCCACGGATCGCGCCCGGCCAGCATCAGGGACAGCGCAGGACCCGGGGCTGGGAGTCCAGGAGACTCGGGGGCCACCGATCGCGCCCGGCCAGCGTCAGGGACAGCGCAGGACCCGGGGCTGGGAGTCCAGGAGACCCGGGGGCCGCCGGGCGCCGTGCCACCTGCTAGTCGGGATGCTAAGGCCGGCGGCCCTCCCCGCGCGGGGAGAGTGTCGAGGCGCTCGAACGCGCTGCAGACGTGCTTTCGCATGATCTGGCTGTCAGGCGTGGTCACTGGATGAATGAATGAATGAATGGATGGATGGACGCGCCCTGCGCTCCCCTCCTCCCCTCTCCCCTCCCCAGCTCATCTTCTCCCCGCGCTGCACCGAGGCCGAGGGACGGCGCTGGCACGAGAACCACTTCTGCTGCCAGCACTGCGCCGGGCCCTTGGGAGGGGGTCGTTATGCCCTGCCGGGGGGCGGCCCCTGCTGCCCCCGCTGCTTTGAGAGTCGCTACTCGGGTTCAGGCTCGACCCTGGCCCTCGGGAGGACGCCCCCCGGTGGACGCGGAGAAGGTGCGGATCAAGGGGCTGGAGGGGGCGGCGGCGGGGGGCTGGTGTGGGGGGGGGCTCTCCCGGGCCGGGCCCCCCAGGAGCCCCGGTCCCACGCCGTCCCGTCCCTCCCGGGCCCCCGCGCCCCCGCCCCGCCGCGCGCCTCGGGGCCCGCAGCTCTCACCGCGCGTGCCGAGGCCGGAGCGCCGCCGAGCCGGGGAGCCACCGGCGCCTGGGGCGGGGGGGCTGCGGCGCGGGGCCGGCGGGGCGGGCGCGGGGCGGGGCGGGGGCGGGGCGCGCGGCGGGCGCCCCCCGACCTGCGGGTTCCCTCCCGCAGGGGAGGCGAGGCGCCGCTCCCGAGAGGCCTGCCCCGCCCCCGCCCCCGCCGCCCGCTCCGGCCCGGGAAGTCCGGGCGGGCGGGTCCGAGCCGGGGGGCCGGCGCCTGGCGGCCCGGACCCCCACGAGGACGACCCCTGCCCCACCTGCTCCTCGTCCTCGGACTCGGAACCCGAAGGCGTTTTCCTAGGCCGGCCGCTTCCCGGGCCCCGGGAGACCCCCGGGGACGCCCACGCCGGGGACGGCGCCTGCAGGAGGCACTGCACCGTGAGCTAGGGGCGCCGCCGCCCGCCCGGGGGTCGGGTTCGAGGCTCGCCCCTCGTCCAGCCTCGAACCCGGCCCTGGGGCGTTCCGGGCCGCCTCGTGGGAACTTTGGGGGACCTCCCGCCGCCGGACTGTGGCCCCCGCACCGCGCCCCCGCCCGCCCGGGCCCGCGATCACGCAGAGCACGCGCGGGGCGGGCCGGGGGCGCGGCTCCCCCTGCGGACGGCTCCGGCCAGGGCGCCCTGGGCGACCCGGCGGCGGCCGCCGGAAGTGCGCGGCCGGAAGTGCGTCATCGGGCGGCGCCCACACGATGCGTCGGAAGCCGCTGGCGGGCAGGCAGGGGGCGGCCATGGCGTCCGGCGCGGTCGGCGTGAGCGCTGCGGCCGGGGCCGCCGACGCCACGGACATGCCGGACAACGTGTGCGACTGGCTTCGGGGCGTCTACCGCTTCGCCACCGACAGGAACGACTTCCGGAGGTGAGCGGGGCCTCCCTCCCCGGGCACCCTGGCGCTGGCCGCCCCTGCAGCCCGCGTCGTGGCCCCCTGCCGAGCTGTTTCTCTTCTTTCTTGCTTGCTTTTTTGCTTTTGGGGGCACACCCGGCGATGCTCAGGGGTCACTCCTGGCTCATGCACTCAGGAATCGCTCCTGGCGGTGCTCGGGGGACCCTATGGGATGCTGGGAATCGAACCCGGGTCGGCCGCGTGCAATCGCTCCAGCCTCCCTGCCCCTCTTTTTTTTTTTTTTTTTTTTTTTTTTTTGCTTTTTGGGTCACACCCGGCAATGCACAGGGGTCACTCCTGGCTCTGCGCTCAGGAATGACTCCTGGCGGTGCTCAGGGGACCCTATGCGATGCTGGGAATCGAACCTGGGGGGTCAGCCGCGTGCAAGGCAAACGCCCTCCCCGCTGTGCTATCGCTCCGGCCCCTCTTTTTTTTTTTTTCTTTTTTGGGGTCACACCCGGCGATGCTCAGGGGTTCCTCCTGGGCTCATGCACTCAGGAATTGCTCCTGGCGGTGCTCGGGGGACCCTATGGGATGCTGGGAATCGAACCCGGGGTCGGCCGCATGCAATCAATCGCTCCAGCCTCCCGGCCCCTGTTTTTCTCTCTTTTTATTCTTGGCCTTACCCGGCGGTGCTGACTTACTCCTGGCGCCGTGCTCAGGGGATTCCCTGATGGGTGGGCTCGGGAGCCAGGGATTGAACCCAGGTCGATCGCGTGCAGAGCAAAGCAAGCGCCCTACCCGCTGCACTGCCGCTCTTTCCACTCACCCCCGCAACTCCCCTGGCTTTTGCATTCGATTTTGCTCCTGTTCGACACGAGCCAACTCTAAATGGATCTCCGTGTGGGCCTTGGGCGACCTACCTCGGAGCCATCAATGCTCCTGAAGTTCAAGTGCAGTCTTTCCCGTCGGCAAGGGTGTCCACCTCCCACACTACCCCAGTAACTTTACCTAATCAGACTCACTGACCCACCCACCCCCGAGGCTAATGAGATGCATTTCTTTCTCAGGAACTTGATCCTGAATTTGGGACTTTTCGCTGCTGGAGTTTGGCTGGCCAGGAACTTGAGCGACATTGATTTAATGGCACCTCAGCCTGGGGTGTAACCCAGAGGTAAGCGCTTCACGGGTGCTGTGAAGGGCTCATAGAGGGGTCTTGCAGAATCAATCAGCTGATCACACAGTGAAGGAAAGGGACTTGATGTGAACCTCGGAGCAAGTCCTAGTTAAGTGTGTGCCCAGATGTTGGGAGAAAAGAGCTTGCAGCTCTTAAATTTCACGTGCATTCACGTTTCTAATCCCCCTTCTTGTCCTGAAATCTTATTGCAGGCACAAGGAATCCCTGTAGAACCTTCCAAAGACAGCTCTAATCTGGCTTTCCTGATGGCAGCTGATGTGATCCAGAGGGACCTTCCCAGTTTCCTCCTCTTCCCACGAGTCCACTCAGAACTCCATCCTCTTGGCAGCATTCAGGCTTCAGTCGCGGTGATATCCTGTTTTGTGAAGTTCTGTAATGGTCCCCAAGTTTCTGGAGGGGTGCACTTTGACCTTATGTATGGTATTTAAACAATATTTGAAATAAAGACTACATACAAAGGCAGCCATTTTATTCTTTTAATAAGAAACATCAGCTTACAAAAACAAGGTGTAAAAAGTCAAGATTTACAAAAATCATAGAAATGTGTTGTTTTACTCTCGAGAGACAAGAACAGCCCCAAATGTGGATCTTGACAGAGGTGGTTTGCTTCACAGGAAAAGGAAAAAAGAAAGCAGAAACTGCAGTCACTGTATACTGATGTTAACAGGATGAACAAAGCTCACTCTTGAGGGATTTCTGTTTCTGAGCAATGCTAGGGACAAGGCCATTTGGTGCTGCATAGGCATCCCAGCGTACCCACCAGTGGGGTCCTGCAGGCACCAGGGGCATTGTTGCTCTAACCAAGGGATCTGTTAGCAGAAAGAGGGAGTTGACATGGTGTCAGCAAGCCTGGAGAATGGGGTATGAAAGTGACACTAAGGAAGCCACTTCTTACACAAGGAAACAGATGTGTTCTGACACTAAGATTAAGCAGCATGCCACCGGCCCAGGGCTTGGGGTTATTTGAAAATGAAGTATGTATGCAAGTGGCATGGGAAAGACTGGTGTAGGCTTAGAAAGATGGGGTGATGGAGACAGGTTCCCTTGGCAATTTTTTCTTGTTGATTTACCAGGCATTAAAAAAAAAATGGCCTTTCCATGCCAAGTCACCTATGGAGGTTAAAGGACATGGATTGTAAAGGAGTGTCAGGATATATGCACCACAGTGGCCTGTGGCTGATGTGTGGTTTCAAGCGACATTTTCACTAAAAGGACACAGAACAAAATTATCCACTGTGATCCTGCCAACATAAATCTCCTAAACACAATGAAGGTTTCTTACCACTTTTTTAAAAGCACCATTCTCTTGTATTAGGTCACTTCCCTTAGAAGGAGTTTAAGCGTATGTGAATTCAGGCCACTGGCTGGCTTAACATGAAAGGCCCTGGAGTCTATAACTGGAGAAGAACAAAGAGAAATAGCCCTGGCTATGAACATGTTTTTTAAAAAGCATAGTGGGATTAGTGATATACAGGTTTCTATTTCCTGTGTTGGCATGAGGAAGAATTCCTTGTGAGAGTCAGGGTGAGGGTGGAAGACATTGCTGCTCAAATGGAAACCAGAAAGGAAACCTGGACGATCCCTTAGATTCCTTTACACCTGCACCAGACCACTGCTAAGCCGAGAAATGCCAGCGACCACTTCGAAAATGAAACAACATTCACGTCTGTCTGACGTGCCATTCGTTGAAAAAATTTCAAAGCTGAAAATACGAATTCTGCAAGCATTAAGAGCTTCCAAAAGGTTCATTTAAACTTCTTGCTTTTCCTTTTTTGGTCTCTGGGCCATGCCCAGTGATGCTTATGGGTTACTGCTTTCTCAGGAATCACACCTGGTGGTACTTAGGGGATCAGATTGCTGTCCGTGGCATGCAAGGAAAGTGCCCTATCCACTGTACTATCCAGCCCCACCACTTTGAAAAAAGCAGCATTCTATTAGGTGTTTAAGCTGATGTGAATTTAAATTGGTTACGTTTTAGTTTCAAGTGGAAATAATTACTGATGAAACCATAATGTCAGTGAGGTCAAGTTTCATATTTCAGTTGGCTTGATTCTTGAAAGTGGCAAGAATTTAGCAAACAGGGCTGGAGATGGGGGTTGTGGGTAGAGGACTTATAACGTGCCAGGGCCTCGGCTCGGGTCCTGGTAGTATAGGATTTCCCTCGGGCAACAATGGGAGTAGCCCCCATGCACCACCGGATGTGTACCCCTAACCCAAATGCAAACATATCTAACAAAGATGTATTTTTCAATTTTGTTGTTGTTGTTTTTGTCCCATACCTGGCGGTGCTTAGGAGACATCCGGGATGCCAGGGATCGAACCTGGGTTGGCTGCAAGCAAGGCAAACACCCAACCCGCCGTACTATTGCTCTGGCCCCCAACAATTTCTCTTTTTCTTTTTGTTGACCTCCATGCAGAGGATTGACTTTGTGACTTCACACAGGCAACGCAAGTGCTGTACCACTGAGCTGCATTCAATTCAAATTCATGCCAATTTGGCAAATTATTTTTGTAAATGAAAGGGCTCTTTTTCACCATTCCGACTACTGACACGGTCGATTCGAAATCCTATCAACCTCCATCCTGTTCTCTTAAACCAGAGTTTAAAACGGCAACAGACCAGAAGTTAGCCATGGAAGGAATCCACTGAAATGACCACTGGCCTCAATGCAACAGTGGCTAGGGTGTCTTTAGGGTATTTGTTGGTTAAACAAATACGAAGCTCTAATTCAAGAGGACAGTTACTCTGGACATGAAAGACGCTAAGCTCAGTCAGTCACATTTAGAAAGTGCTTTTCAATGTCAGATTCTAACTAAAAACAAAAACAAAAAAAACACTCGCTCTCCCCCGCAAAAAAAAAAAAACAACCCAACAAATTCAAGAAAAAGGACCACCAGGGTGATGCATACTTACCAGGAAAAAATCAAAGTGGCCACACAAGGTACCCAGAGCTAGAAAATGCCTCAGTTAATTAGGCCAGAAGGACCCAATCATCAAATGTGCTTCGCAGGGTGAGTTTTACGAACACCCTTCGGTGAAATCTCGGCTGGAAGCCTGGGGTAGGAGTAAGCTGAGCAGGCAGGAAGCAGTCCCGCAGGAGAGTCGCCTGCACCCGTGCGTGCCGTCAGCGCCTACCAGGGCAGGGGGCTGCCGGGCCGGGCCAGGGTGCCTGTGGCTTCTCTTGCGTATACACAGTGCGCCGGCTTGCCTTACCACGGAAAGGTTCACATATAGGGGATTACGATCTACACCACTTCCTGAAAGTTTGTGCAAAAGAATTTCAGAATCTATGAAGGTGCCACTGGAGAAGGAACCATTTTGGACTTCCGCCACAAAGATGCCCAGCGTCAGGAAAACGAAAAGGCCTTTCCTGAACATCTGTGCTCTTCCAACCGACTGGAAGAGCAGCTCTTCACTGGTGAGAGACCAGCCCAAACAGGGTTCGAGTGTCTGTTAAGAAGAGGTAGCCTGCTCAGCCTGAATCGAAAAGGCCCGTGTTAACGTCCGACTAGAAAAGCGGGAAGCGAGGTGGTGCAGGAAAGAATGGGAGAGTCTGCCCTAGAAAGCAGACACTGGAGGAATGATCACAGATACAAAGATTTGGGACGGTCCAGTAACATTTCGAAACTGACTGGCACGAAGAATTTGTTTTCACACACAACAGGAAATGCATTCAAAAAGTCTGATACCAAATGTCTTTTACACTATACAGACCCATTTCGCCACTTGGAATGACCAGGAATCCTTTCCTTTAAGCTTTCAATCTCATGCATACCGAAATTGAGTTGTTAACAAGGCACCAACTTTTATGAATTGTATAAAATTAGTTCACAAAGCTTTATCGGTAAGTGAAAACCAACTCCATTTCTCCCTCCCGACCTCCCCACCCACATCCCACCCCCAGCCCAAATCTGCATTCTGCCACTACTGCCCACCTCTCCCAGGCTCATGTCGGGGTCTGCCGAGGGCCACGCCCCACTGCCAGCCAACCCACTTCCGCAGTTTGTGCCCTTGGATGGTATGCAGGCAAAGCCGGACTAGGGAACCATACAATCACTGACTCTAGAAGCCTTCCTACTCAAAAGAAAAATAAACTCTGCCATCGAGTCCATAGGACACATTAACACTTCTACCGTTTCCAATTTCAGCCATGACATTTAAGAGACACCCGGGATTCTTTACAGCGCCACTGCCCGTCCTCATCCTGAGAGGGGCTGGGTCAAAGCTGGCAAGTGCCCTGCCTAGGCTTTAAGAAGAACTGCAGTTCCTAGCTGTTGAGGGCATTCCCAATTTTTCTTTTCTTCTTCTTTTTCTTCTTTTTTTTTTTTTTAAATGAGCTGGATGCTCATCTCAGAGGCAACCATAAGTAAGAGGGTCAAGCAAGGTTGAGGTAAAAATCATTTCTGAGGCCGGGACGTATTCATCTTGGCTGGCTAGAGCATAAAGTAAACACGCCAGCCAACGACACAGTGTTCCTAACTAGTTGTCTGAGAGGAGGAGGCCCAAAGGTTCGGTTCCGAGATCTTGGGTTTCATTTGGTAGCATCTAGGATACTTCGACTTGGTTATTATTTTCTTCTCCTTAGGATGCTTCGATTTAAAATAAGATGCAACCAGGAAATTAATCTATTTTCAATATGCAAATAAATTAAAGGCAAAGGGAATTTCCCTCGCAATAGCCACTGGCTTATGCAGCAGGAAACTTTTTTCTTCGATAAAATCTCCATAAATACTAAGTTCTCAGTGGCACCTCGTGCTGCCGCGTCTGGTACCCCGGGGTGTGGGCTGTAGGGGACCTTCACGGCCGCAGCTCTGTCAGGACTCGATGCCAACTTCTACTCCAACTGAACCGGTTTACAAATCCTATACGGGGGTGTCAGCTGAGTTAAAGACATTCTATAAAGTCCTTAATCTGCGTAACAATCATTAACATTTTTGGTATAAGATGCTTATTAATTAAAAATGGAAGGTCTTTTCATTTTCCATGAATATATTTTTTAAAACAATCCCCCGCCCCCACAATGGACAGCCTGAGGGATGATAATAATGCCTTTATTCCTTCTCCATTTGTAAGTCTTCTTTTTTCTAGATTTGTAAATAGTGTTCAATGAAAGGAGGCACACTTTATATTTTCTTTTTCACTTTTCTTGTTCTTCTTCTTTTTAAAAAGTCGTTGGGTTTTTCTTTCGCCACGAAGCCATCAGCAAACAGGCTGCCTTCAACATGTGCATTCAGAGTCAAGTTCCCACCAGAGCCCCTGGCAGTGGGACACTTTAAAACAGTGTCCGGGACCGGATGAGGCTGGGCCAAGTTTGTACAAAGACGCCTGCAGCAGACAATATAAACCTAAAGGCATAAAAAATGCCATACGCCATCGCTTCCAAATAAAAGCTAAATATTACAGAAACCTCACAGTGTTGGAAAAAGCAAGTTTAAAATATCGCCACTCCCTCTTTCCTCTGGGGAGAGCCACTTTCTGTCGGAATCTCCTCCGTGTCTCAGTGGTGTCTTGCCTGTCCTCTGGGGGCCTTTCGTCTCGCGGAAGGAGACCCCCAGCTAACGCTCGGGAAATGGGGCTCGGTTGAACACGCTAAGGTTTGCCCCCCGCTCGTGAGCTTCTCTTTCCCACTCTCCCCCCTCCCCCCTTACAGTGACAACTGTCCTTCTACCTGAATTGAAATACTAGTACCAGGTGCTCAGTCAAAAAATGAGCATTCCTGGGGACCGACGGGGGCGACCCCTTGAAGTTTGCATTTAGGAAGAGCAGTGCGTCTAGGGGAAGGATTACGATGGAGAAGGGAAATTCCAGGGAGACGAGTGTTCCTCTGTGAACACCATCGTGCTACTTAGAAAGGGACCCAGGATACAAAGACACACTTCCTTGCACTGGAGTTCAGCCCAAGGTCCCCCGTACTTATCTCCGGGATGGACTGAGGGTGATGGTGGTGGTGGTGGTGTGTGTGTGTGGTGGGGGGGAGGGGGAGGGAGTCAATAAAGGGAAGGAATTGTCAGATTTGGGAAGAGACTGTCTGGACATCCCGGGGGCGGACCCCCAAGCCACTCCCATGCCCAGGAAAGCAAGAACTCCCAAATCTGGCGAATAAGAATAGTTGAGGTCTCCAGGAGCAAGAAGGACGTTGCGGGGCAAGCAAATGCATGCCACGGCAAGGCAGGGAGGGGTGACGTCATGTGGGTGTGCGTCCCTGCCCGCCGCCGCAGGGTCGTCTGGGAGAGCGCCACAGACCACTGGCCTTCCTAACCAAACCCGTACCCGCTGTCCGGCATCTGAAGCAGGGATCTGTTGCCTAGGACCCCGGGCTCCGCATGCAGCCGTGGAGATGTGGCTGCTGTGTTCTACGTGGGGAAATCTGCTCCGTGCATCTTTCTCGACAACGGCTACACCCTGCTGCAAAGGCCACCCACCAGCTTCCGACCCTTGCCGGGATGGTCCCTTCCTCTGCAGGACACGTTCTTCGACTACGCCTTGCACCTCGGATCCCGTTCTGCAAGCTGCTGGCCCAGACCCTCCTCACTGTCCGGGCCCAGTCTTCTCATGCTGCTTCAGGGGTTCTGATTAGCAAGGTGGGGGGGAATCACACAACAGTGGCTCTCCTGGCTGGCTTGGGACCCCCTTCACCCTTCCCTTTTGCTCCTCCCACATCGTCTTCTATTAAGAAGCAACGGATGAAAGAATTTCCATAGCAGTTACTCCTTCACTTTTTTTTTGGGGGGGGCACACCCGGTGATGCCAGGGACCGACCCACAGTTAGAGACACACAAGACAAGTGCCTTAACCCCTTCACTATCTCTTCGGCCCCCAGAAGTTACTTCCTATTTGATTTGTTTCACCGACGGAGGGAAATTTCCAAATCCATTCACAAGAAAGTGACTGTAAACTCTAGGATCGGACACGGTCCCCTGACAGCTGCTCGCTACCCAGTGAGGTAAACCTAGTAATCTGTTACTGCAGTAAACCTTATTATTGTTTTTTTTTTTTTTGTAAGGGGAAAGGAAAATAGACACCGAGAGTTTAAAAGCAAGCCAGTCCGTGATGCGCACCTCCCCTTCAGGGGAATGTCCGTGGTCTGCCCACATCTCTGTTGCTGGACTGCACCTGAGCTTGGAGTTGGGTTTCTGAGATTCTCGGATGGCCCTGAACTGTTCTTTGAGTGTAAAAAAGGATGTAGGCTTGAGTTTTGCACACTTCCTCGACACTGCATACATTCAGCTTTGAGTCATTGCAGTGGACCCAAAAACCTAGGAAACCAAAGGAGAGAGAGAGAGAGAGAGAAATGACCACCCAGCTTGGATGTCCGCTCAGCAAGCACAACGAAGAGATGGAGAAAGGCACAGAGGAGTTCTGAGCAGGACGAGGTTCGCTTTTTCGATGGGGGAAGAGACAAGCATACGAACTCCACAGACCTCCCTGTCACCCGCCTTCCCCCACCCCCACGCCTTCCTCAGTACACCCCACCCCATGGACATTTTTGGTTTGGGGGCCACCCCTGGCGGTGCTGAGGGCTTACTCCTGGCTCTGTGCTCAGGGATCACTTCGAGCAGGACTCTGGGGGCCGTATGTGGTGCCGGGAATCAACCCCGGTTGGCCGTGTGCAAGGCAAGAGCCTTGCCCGCTCACTATATTATCGCTCCGGCCCCTGATGGTCATTTTTGTCCTTGCCTTATGGAGGCTTTCTCACGGCCCACTGGGGCCTCTGTAGGGACAGTCAGGGAACCGCAGGCTCAGAGATACGAGGGAGAAGTGAGGAAATGTAACTAGAGGGAAGTGACCGAGGCAAACTTAGCTGGAATCAAGTTCACGGGCCACCTGAAGGACTGCTGGTTCCAGGTCAGTCCACCTGCCTCCATGCAGTAGCTGGGAGGTTCTGCTCAGGGTGAGACTGAGGCTCTTCGGGAGAGGCCAGACCCCCACGCCCACGGAAAGGGAGGGAAGGGCACAGTGAGAGCACTCTGGAAGGGCACCGTGTGTGAGTTCCTGTCAAGGCTCACAATAATCTTGCGTTGTTGGCGACACAACCAAAATTCAGTTCCAACAGTCTTAATTCGTCCCACCGGAACTGAGCGCATGTCATTGCCCCTTGCGGATGATTGGTGGGATTGAAATAAAAGACAACCGATGGAATGTGGACAAACCAACCCTCTTCCGTGTCCCACACCCCACAGAGTAAAGCGCACGCACCTCCCTCTGTGTTGTAGCAATAGGCTGTGTAGTGTCCTGAGCCAAACCCTTTCCCGTGATGCATGACCACTGCGGAGAGATCATAGGCAAAGGTCTCTTTGTCAAGAGAGGAGAGCATGTCCCTGCAGCAGTAAGGTTCCATGGTTAATACCTGCTCAAAGACGACATGGACCCCAATCTTCTCGCGATGATTACGGCCAGACCACCTAGAACATATATAACAACTGCTTACTGGGAAGAAGCGACATGTTCTGTCTTGGCTGGAGGCAGGTAAAAAGAGGGGGCCTGAGAAAATTAACGGCTCTGGGTCGCCCACATAGGTTTACTGTGAATGTCTCAGGAGGATCTCTGAAACGAGAAATTCCCTCTGCAGTCATCTTTGTTTTTTTCTTTTTGGGTCACACCTGGTGATGCACAGGGGTTCCTCCTGGCTCTGCACTCAGGAATTACTCCGGGCAGTGCTCAGGGGACCATATGGGATGCTGGGAATCGAACCCGGGTTGGCCGCGTGCAAGGCAAACGCCCTACCCGCTGTGCTATTGCTCCAGCCCCAGCCGTCATCTTTCTGTACTGACTGCAGGGCCATCTACACACAGGTTGCTCCGACTATGCCAAAGAGGACCCAAGCCCGGTGGGGCCCGAACAGACACCTGAGCAGGCGAGCCAATCACACAGGGCCAGCCAATCTGCCTGACGGGGTGTCGGACAGTTCATCTCCACAGAAAGCGCAAGGCTCACAGGAGCCAGGCTTTCAGTCCCAAAGAGGCGAGACTGGTTCTCTGCACTTGGAGGACACGAGCCCTCCGCAAAGCCTGTCAAACAGCCAGGGCTGAAGGCCAGTCAGTCACTCTACGGGGAAAGGTGCTTGCCTTGCACGAGGCCCGTCTGTTTGGCTTCAGACACCACATGATCCCCTGAGCGAAGGGTTAGGAATCGCCCCTGAGCACTGTCAGGTATGGCCTCAACACCACCCCATGCCCCCCAAAACCAAAAAAAAACAAAAACAACAACAAAAAAAACCACACCAGCCTATTCGACCACGTGGAAGGTCCCTGAGGAAGCTCACCTGAATCGTTTAAGGTGCAGCCGGAGGACCTGAGGTAGTCTGTAGATCATTAACTGTTTCCTAGCTTCACTCAGAACAAGGGGTTTGGGATTGGATTTTCGTCGTTTGCCTAGATGGTTCGGGAAGGCATAAGACACAGATCGTGAGGAGACTCATTCTCCCTGTGCTCCGGCAGAGACAATGCTTTGCCTCTCAACATACATCCTCCTTAGTTAGCAGAATCCAGCTCCTAGTCCGAACTCTGGCACGACAGGACCAGAGCGGCTCACACCTCACACCTCAGGTCCTTGCATCAAACCCCGGCATTCTTAGTCCCTGGCATGGAAATGCTGAGCCTGACCGGGAGCGGCCTCCAGACCCCCAAGCGTTGCTTCTGAGGCAAACTAAACAAGTGAAAGCAAGGAGGGGAAGATCAGGACGGCAGGCAGGGTGCTTGCCTTGTGAGTGGCCAACCCGGGCTGGATTCCCAGCACCCCGTGTGGTCCGCTGAGTCTGCCAGGAGTGATTCCTGAGCACTGACACTGGAGTAAGCTTTGAGTACCACTGGGTGTGACCCCCAAACAAAGGAAAAGCCCTTATTTTCGTCATAGAGACTTCACTCTACTTCATGCACACAGTTAGTTGCATGCTCTTTGACATGTTATTTGAAACTGTGAACTCTAGTTTCCCCTTTGGTAAAATGAGCCCGACATAGATTTTGGACCTAGGACCAGAACAAAGATAAGGAAACCAGGATGGTGATTTTTTTTTTTTTAAATTAGCCTTGCAGAAACAAGCCTTCAAAATATTGGTTCAAAACTCAGAATTGTGGGGCTGGAGAGATAGCACAGCGGGGAGGGCATTTGTCTTGCATGCGGCCGACCTGGGTTCGATTCCCAGTATCCCATATGGTTCCCTGAGCACCGCCAGGAGTAACTCCTCAGTGCAGAGCCAGGAGGAACTCCTGTGCATTGCCGGGTGTGACCCAAAAAGCAAAAACAAAAAAAAAAACAAAAAAAAAAACCTCAGAATTGTTCCTCTCTACAGAAACCTTTAGTAAAAGGCAAAAGATGTACGTGATCTGAAGAGAAGCCAGAGTACAGTGATTTTAAAAAATAATTTTTTTTTAGGGCTATACCAGATGTACGCAGAGCTTACTCCTGGCTCTGAGCTCAGGGATCACTCCTGGTGGGCTCGGGGGACAATATGGGTTGTGGGGGATCAAATTTGGGCTGTCCGCGGGTAAGACAAAAGCCTATCACTGCAGCCCCAAAGGATGGTAATTTTTCCCCATCATGATTTACTTGTGGCATATAAAATTATTTTCTTAATATTTTTATTAGAAACTCCTGGTTTTGTATTTTTATGCTCTAACTAGTTTGTTTGTTTATTTTTCCCTTTCTGGCCTTTGGGCTGCACCCGGCAGTGTTCAGGGCATCTGTGGTGTCAGGGTATCGAACCTGGGTGAGCAGCATGCCCACATGCATGGCGATTACCTTACCCCCTGCCCTATCTATCGTTTTTCAAACTCGTTTTTTGAACAAAATGCTGGATGTGCAGGACAAGGCGGACAGGCTGGTCACAGTCACCCAGGGCTGAGACTCTCGTTCAGTCTTTAAAGCTACTGAATTGTGAATGAAATGCCTTTCAAAATTGGAGCAGATGAATAACGGAAATAAAGTTCTCCTAATTTCCAAGACAAGGCTTCTCTGTAGCCATCTATGGACAGTTCTGTTGTTCGAGGAATCACACCAGCGGATGAGAATACGAAATTAAGACACCGGTTCATTGTGGCGCCTGAAAACTGCCCGAGTTGTTGCTCTCACAGTCTCAGCACCTGAAGAGCTTGCCGTCTGATTCCAAGTCCTGCCTGCACCCCTCACGAAAGGCAGCAAATCACGGTCTGATGACGTCGCATGGAGCTTTCTGCGACAATAGGTTGCAGAGCTGTGGCTTCTCCTGACACACTGCAGCGGAACAAGGGAGCCAGCGTGGCTGGGACTACAGCGACACTGAGGAAACGCGGGGGCATGAGCAGAGATGGAATTCAAAGGGGCCTCTTCCCATTCACCCAGGGATTGGTGAAAGTGATCGCCGCTTTGCCAGGGAACTGGCAGTGACTGCCTCTCTCGGCAGAGGGCGCATGTGAGCTAACCGGAAGACAATACAGAAGGCGGCTTTGTTTCCCTAAAATGAAATTCACAAAGAAATTACTGATTCAATTGAGATTGATCAGTTCTGTCTCCGTATGATTAAGCTGGTCACCCAGGGAGGGAGCAGGCCGGTAATTCTGAAGCTTCACAAGCAATAGATCAACGTCACTCACTCTTCCCATGTCCATAGCTCTCCTCTCCAGCAATTACTTGAGCTGGATTAGAAACATTCAGACAAATTGGCAGCCAGAAAAATAATCCTTTTTTCAAAAAAAAAAAATCTTTTTCCTTGTCTAGTCTATCAGAGCCAAGAATGGCATTAAAGCTCTTTTTGTTTTCTTTTGGGGTCACATCCAGTGATGTTCAGGGGTACTCCTGGCTCTGCACTCAGGAATTACTCCTGGCGGTGCTCAGGGGACCATATGGGATGCTGGGAATCGAACCCAGGTCGGCCGCGTGCAAGGCGAACGCCCTATTCACTGTCCTGTTGCGCCAGTCCCATCATTAAAGCTCTTACCGTGATTTTCTGTTGCCTTAAAGTGATGTGCTTTCCAAATCACTATCCTCTAACAGAGTAAATTAAATCACTGGCAATATATCTCAATATCTAGCAGGACAGGTAGGTTAGGTCTATAAAAAAATATATATCAAACTGTTTTAAATGACACTTAACAGCAAATATAACTTTTGTCCTGATTCTTAAGAGAATATATTTTCCACAACGGTAAAAAACAAATAAGGGGCTGGAGCAATAGCACAGCGGGTAGGGCATTTGCCTTGCACACGGCCGACCCGAGTTCGATTCCCAGCATCCCATATGGTCCCCTGAGCACCGCCAGGAGTAACTCCTGGGTGCATGAGCCAGGAATAACCCCTGCGCATTGCTGGGTGTGACCCAAAAAAGCAAAAAACAACAACAACAACAACAACAAAAAAAAACGGGGACCGGAGAAATAGTACAGAGGGTAGGGTGCTTGCCTTGCACGTGGCCAACTCAAATTTGGTCACCAGCACCCCAGATGGTCGCCCAAGCACCGCCATGAGTAATTCCTCAGTACCAAGCCAGAAGTAACCTTTGAGCATTGCCAGGTCTGGCCCCGAAACAAAAATCAAAGCAAAGAAAACGAAACAAAACAAAACCCCCATAAGCAACTATATTAAGGACTATCAAAAGGTTTTTCTCACTAAAACTCATCCTTCAAATTATGTAGAAGCAACTGATTTCCAGTTCTCCAAGCATTCACTGTTTTAGTCTCCAGTCTTTCCATGCTCAAACCTCCCAACCTGGCTTTTCCTTGACCCACATTTCCTCAGCAAGGGCTTCAGGCTCAGAACACCCAGTGCACTCTTCATACAGAGGAGCCCTGGGGCCAATCCGGGTGCCCCAGGCCTGGCCTCTGAGTGCTGCCGCTGTGTCCCCAAAACGGACTCTTTCAAGTTAAAACGCCTGGGGGGTGGGGGAAGAGGAAAGAAGAAAAAACGAAAAAAGGGAGAGTAACACCCAGGAATGGCTGAGATTAGTACCAGGAATTTTGCTCCATGAATGGAAGGCCAGCCACAGGCTCTAGGTGAAAAGGAAGCTCAGATAGAGAAGAGAGCACCAAATAAAGGGTGTTGTCAGGGTCCTCCCAGGGTGGGAGAAGCACGCTAAAAGTAGTCGATAGACCAAACATGATTGCCACTCAAAGCCTCTCTTGCAAAACACAGTACCCAAAAGAAGAGAGAGAGAACAAGGGGGAATACCCTGCCACAGAGGCAGGATGGGACGGGGGGGGGGGGGGGGGGGGGGATGAGGGGGGGGATGCTGGGACCCATGGGGATGGATGACGGGCACTGGTGGAGGGATGGGCACTTGATCATTGTATAACTGAAACCCAAGCACAAAATTTGTAAGCCTATAACTGTACCTCATGGTTTTTCACTAATAAAAAAATAAAAAAATAAAAAAAAAATAAAGAAAGATGAAGCTTTGCATATCCAAGGGGGGGAAAATAAAAACGAAAAAAGGTAAAATAAAAACTCCTGGGAAACTGGACTAGGAGACCCACCTCCCTCTTGACTGTGGGAGGCTTCCTGCCCTCTCTACTCCTCTTTCTCTTCTGGTAAAATCTCTTCAGAATTCAGCAAAAAAAATAACAATAAAATTAAATGACCCCACAGAGAAATACTACTTTCCTATGACTCCTCTTGAAAGCTCACGATGGAAAGAAACAACTGTGAGAGAGTCCAGGGTTTGCGGCACCTGTCTTTAACCGCTGCCCACCCTGATTCAACCCCCAGCATCACACGGTCCCCACAAGCACCACCGAGAGTGAGCCCTGAGCCCAGGGCCACATGTAGCCGCCCTGTTCCTCTGGGTGTGACCCCCAAAATAATTCCCTACCTGCAACCAAACAAGACGGCTGCCACGAAGCATCTGACAATTTGCTTCTCTGGCTTCCGGTGCCAATCTTTAACAGCTCTCTGACAGATTTCAATACAGTACCATGGCACTTTTCTGATGGCATGGTCCCCGACACTCTGTGCCACCATGGCCTCTCTGATGATTTTTTTTTTTTTTGGCTTTTTGGGTCATATCCGGCGATGCACAGGGGTTACTCCTGGCTCTGCACTCAGGAATTACTCCTGGCGGTGCTCAGGGGATCATGTGGGATGCTGGGAATTGAACCTGGGTCGGCCGCATGCAAGGCAAATGCCCTACCCGCTGTGCTATCGCTCCAGCCCCTTTCTGATGAATTAAGAACTCGTGACCTTTTGGAGTACTCTGAAGCTAAATATCCACATTCTTAGGGCAAGTCCCCATGTCCGAGCCACACTTAGAAATGCCTCCTAGGTAACAACTCATGTGAGTCACAGCAGGACTCCAAAGGACACACACCTCTCGCTTTTGTTCAAAACAAAACCAAAACCATAGATGCTTGTTCTCAGAAAATGGGAGACCAAAAAAAAAATCCTCTAAGAAGATGTGCCAGAACCACTCAGTATCATCCATCTTACTTCTGACTACAGAGGCAAGAGAGGGGAAAGAGACTGTGATGGGTGGAGGTGTCTGCCTTGCTCAGACATGGCCGACTCGGGCTCAATCCGACACGCATCTGGTCCAGAGCCCTGCCAGAGTGATCCTTGAGCACAGAGCCAGAAGTAAGCCCTGAAAACTATTAGGATGAGGCGCCCCCTCCCCCCAAACAAACAACAACAACAAAAAGAGGCAAGAGAAATGGCTTAAAAGGATTTTTAAGAGCCCCTGCTGCCCTCCACACTCCGGCCAGCACTCACTGTTACACTGGTCACAGGCGTAGATTCTCCCTTCCAGGGCTTCTGTCTCCGTGAACTTGGCCAGCATCTCAGTGAGCAGGCACTCGGTCTGATTCAAAGGGACAAACCCCTTCTCTATGCAGTGATAGCGTTCGGGGAATTCCAGGGACAAATCCCAAAAGGGCTCAATGGTATTGGATTTATAATTGCATGATACACATGTGACCTAGAATGAAAAGACACATAAACTTGACCAAAGCTAAATGTACAGTTACACACACACACACACACACACACACACACACACACACACACACACACACCACCCCAAAACAAGTGTAATATTAAAACAAGAAGTCTGACTTGAATGTAGAGAATCAGAGCATACCAATTCTGGCATATGTTTATAACTATGTTTATAACAACTGGCTGGAACTGGAAAATCGTGAAACACAAAAGACAATTCTCCACCAGCGCATGGGATTCTGTGCCGCAGAGCTGTACACTCAAGCTAGCATGGGTCTTTCCAGGAATTAGGCTGAGATGGAAGATATGCAAATTCCTGTCTGCTTCTCATCCGATTTCCTCCTCCAGTTTTCACCGGTTTCTTCCACTCCAACTTGCTTCTCCTTTTGCCCTGGTTTCTTGCAGCAATTCAACACGGATCCCTGTGCCTGCATAATCTCTAAGTACCTCGTGATTAGACCTCTTCTCCCATTATAAATTTCCCAGATGTCCCTTTCTTCGGAAGAACTCTCACGGACTAGAGGAAGTGCTTATAAATACTCTCCTTTCACATGCAAAAACAAAAGCAAGTATTTTTTTTTTTCCTATTCCACTAACCCTTCTCAGGAAAACCTAAATATGAAAACATCAAACCTCAGAGGCATGGGAGCAAAGTTTAGAGGCTTTCTCCGAATCTCATTACCCACCCTTTATTTTTGAAGTCTACAATGTTCTTGTTTGGGGGGGGGGGGGCAGGTCAGGAGATGGCTTAAAAGGCTGGAACAAAAGCCTGGGATGAGCCCTGGGTTCGACCCCCAACTTCTCATGGTCTCCGGAGCCCCTGGCAATACTGGGGAAGCCCCAAGAAAAGACAAACAAGCAGGAACACGCAGTAGATGAGATCCCAACGTTCTCCTGAATCGCCTCACAGTGCTTTATCTATGAGCCGCTGTTTATGTTTCAACATGAAAAGAAGGTCCGAGAAATGAAAGGGAATGGGGAATCGGATGGAAGATTGTTTAACTTTCTGCATCCTCCTAGCCAGCCAGCTTCCTTCCTCATATAAAGAACGCCTAGGAAGGATTAGCTTTTTTTTTTGGGGGGGGGCTTTTTGGGTCACACCCAGTGATGCTCAGGGGACCACCTGGGATGCCAAGGATCGAACTTGGGTTGGCCTTGTGCGAAGCAAACAGCCTCCCCTCTGTGCTACCTGGCCTGTGACAGAATGACAGTCTGTGGATGCCATGGGAAAGCCTGGCCAGCGTGGGAGAGGCCCTGCATTCCTCCCCTGCGCCCACAACCCCTGACCTGGAGAAAGTGAAAAAGGAAAAAAAAAAAAATCAAGTGACCCGAATGAGGGTTAGAAACAGGTTGTTCAATTTCCTCAAACTGATCAACCGATGGCAGGACAGATAAGGAAGGGGCCCTCAGAAATAAGGTGAAAGACAGTTCGGGGATCAGAGATCATGGGTTCCACCCCTGGCACCCAAGACTGGGTGCACTCCTGCACCCCGCTCCCCGGCACCCAGGTCCACGCCCGCCACCCCGCTCCCCGGCACCCAGGTCCACGCCCGCCACCCCGCTCCCCGGCACCCAGGTCCACGCCCGCCACCCCGCTCCCCGGCACCCAGGTCCACGCCCGCCACCCCCGCTCCCCGGCACCCAGGTCCACGCCCGCCACCCCGCTCCCCGGCACCCAGGTCCACGCCCGCCGCCCCGCTCCCCGGCACCCAGGTCCACGCCCGCCACCCCGCTCCCCGGCACCCAGGTCCACGCCCGCCGCCCCGCTCCCCGGCACCCAGGTCCACACCCGCCACCCCCGCTCCCCGGCACCCAGGTCCACGCCCGCCACCCCCGCTCCCCGGCACCCAGGTCCACGCCCGCCGCCCCGCTCCCCTGCACCGGGTCCAGGCACGGCAAGGGCCCTAGGGCACCCCTCGGAGGCTCCCCCAGCACCAAACACATACCCGAGAGAGGAGAGCGGGGACCAGATCACCACCCACAAGGCCCTCAAAGCACACTGAGTAATGGGTGGCCCAGCCAGCATCTTAACTAGGCGCAGGCTGGCTACTCCGCAGGGGCCCTGGGGGTGGGCGGCCACGCGCGCGCGCGCACACACACACACACATACACACACGCGCGCACGCTTGTGCCGCCTGCGTCAGGGGGCACGGGGGCAGGGGCGGGCACGCACCACCTACCTGGCTGCGCAGCTGCCCGTGAAATATGGTGTTCACCACCTTCAGGACCTGCTTGGTGAGCTTCCTCTGCGAGAGCGGGATGAGGATGCGGCGCCGCGTGCCCTCGGCCTCCAGCTCCTGCTGCACCTTGTGCAGCAGCTCGCAGAGGAACTCCTGCGCGTCCTGCTGGTCGCAGCCGCGGAAGGCGGGGATGAGGCTCCAGACCGAGTGCAGCATCGCGAAGGGCGACACGAGCGCCCACTTGCCGGACCACATGACGCGGAAGAGCGTGTGCAGCTCGTGGCAGAGGGAGATGTGCTTGGAGCGCGGCTCCTTGTCCTGGACCAGCTCCAGGCGGCGGCCCAGCGAGGCGGCGGCCCCCGCCCCGTCGCGGCAGAGGCCCGCGGCGGCGGCGCCCCACGCCTGGGCCCGCGGCCCCTCGCCGCCCCGGGGCGCCAGCCCGGGCAGCGGGGCGCTCCCGTGGGCGGCCGTGGAGAGCAGCTGCTCCGTCTGCGACGGGTCGAGGTTCAGGAAGCACTCGCGGAACTTGCGCAGGTGGCTGAGCACCTGCAGGATGGAGTTCATGTAGCACGTGTTGCCCAGGTTGCGCAGGCCCGTGACGCCGGGGGCCACGGCGGCGGGCGCGCGGCGCGGGGCGCGGCCGGCGGCGGCGGCGGCGGCGGCGGCGGCGGCGGCGGGGGCGCGCGGCGCGTGCCCGCGGGGCGCGCCGTGCAGCAGCAGGCGCGCGCTCTTGCGCGGGGGGCGCGCTGGCCAGCTCCTCCAGCAGCCGCCGCTTGACCTCGCGCCGCCGCTGCCGCGCCGCCTCCTTGGCGCGCTCCCGCGCCTCCTGCCGCCGCTGCTGCTCCAGGCGCGCGCGGCCCCGCGAGCTGCGCTGGAACCACACGCGCAGCGTCCGGGCCAGCAGGCGCTGCCGCCGGTACCAGAGCGCCGTGAGCATCTGCGGCGGGGGCGCCGTTGCCGCCGCCGCAGCTGTCACTGTCGCCGCGGCCGTGGCCGTGGCCGCCGCCGCCGCCGCATCCTTGCCCGCATCCTCGCCCGCCGCCCGCGAGCGCAGCGTGGGGCCGCGCCGCGCCCGCGGCTCCTGCCGGGGCCCGCGCACGGCCAGCAGCGCGCTGCGCAGCAGCTTCAGGTCCCCCTCGGGGTTGTCGTTGAGCACGTAGTCCTCGCACACGTAGCAGAACACGTAGAGGTCGCGCACCTCCATGGCCAGCGGGTGGCCCGTCGCCCGGAAGTGCTGCAGCGCGTGGTCCTCGAGGTAGCGGCCGCACGCCACGTGCGAGCACTTGAGGCAGGCCCACGCCGACTCGGTGGCGGCGCAGTCGCGGCAGCGCCACTTCTGCGGGTTCAGGATGGAGTGGTCCTGGGCCAGCCGCAAGCGCCCCACGTGCTTGCATCTATCCATGGCTCAGGCCAGCGGCCGCTCCTGCAACCTGGCGGGGAGTGGGGGGCGGGAGAGAGGGACAGAGCGCGCTTTCAGCAGGGGGGCTTCCGAGGGGGGCAGGCTTGCACGCAGCCTGCGACGCAACCAACAGAGGTTTGCAATTCAAAGTTGGGTCCCAGGGGCTGGAGAGAGAGCACAGCCCGGAGGGCGTTTGCCCCGCACGCAGCCGACCCAGGTTCGAGTCCCAGCATCCCATGTGGTCCCCCGAGCACCGCCAGGAGTAACTCCTGGGTGCACAGTAACCCCTGTGCATCGCCGGGTGTGACCCAAAAAGCAAAAAAAAAGAAAAACAGCTGGTTCCCAATTTTGGGCGGGGCGTTCCCCTTGCATGCGCCCGACCCTGGTTCCATCTCCCGCATCCCCTGAGCACCGCCAGGAGTAGTACTCCCTGTGCACTGCGCAGTGTGACCCCCCCCCAAAAAAAAAAATAGCTCCCTTTGGAAGGACTAAACGATGAGAAAAAAAGGTAAAACTCGGTAGAGACTGAGAATGACCTTAGAACAATTCCATATTCCTTAAAAAAGGAACAAGACCAGGAAGATACAGTAGAAGGGGCGAGAAGCTTAGGACCAAATATCGTTTTTTGTTTCTACTTGTTCTGTGTTTCGGGGCATCTGGTATACCACGCTGTGAACCCAAAAGGGCACCGTCCCACCCTTGAGCTGTAACTATGTAGCACTACACTGTCCTCCCATTGTTCATCGATTTGCTCCAGCGGGCCCAGTAACGTCTCCATCGTGAGACTTGTTGTTACTGTGTTTGGTATATCGAATACGGGGAGCTTGCCAAGCTTTGCTGTGCTGGCGAGATACTCTCAGTAGCTTGCCGAGCTCTCAGAAAGGGCCAGAGGAATTGAACCCTGGTCGGCCGCAGCCGCGTGCAAGGCAAATGCCCTACCCGCTGTGATATTGCTCAATAATTTAAGATTTTTGTGCTACACCCACTGGGCTCAGGGGTCATTCCTGGTGGTGCTCAGGGAACCACAGTTGATCAAACCCAGGTCGGCCACATGCCAGACAAGCACTGAAACCTCTGAACTCTCTCAGGCCCTGGCTGAGCAACTTTATGTCTCTAGCTTGGAGCCTTTAGGCAAACTAACTACTCTAACTATGGTTCCTTAATTTGAACTCTGGCCAACTTGATGTTTCTTCAGCCTGCTTTAATGTTTGAATGTCAGCTAAGTCTTACACTGGGCTGATTTGTGTTCCTTACAGAACGCCATCGCCCTGATTTCACACTGACTGCGCCTAACTGGTCACCGGGGGCGAGCAACTTGTATTCTGAAGCGTCTCAGAGCTGATTCCAAGGTCCGCCAGATGAAAGCCTTTGTGTGTATCATACTGATCACATCCTGCCTGTGTGAGACAGGACAGGAAGGGCGAGGAGAGACAGCTGGTGTTTCAGATATCAGGAGGAAAGATGGAGACCCTCACACCAAAAGGCAGTCTTGTTTGTCTGTTGGGCCCACACCCCACTAAGCTCAGGCATCACGCGTGGGTCTGTACTCAGAATCACCCGCGGTGGAGCTCTGGGACAGCATGTGATGCCAGGGACGGAACCAAAGCATCAAATTTGATGGCTGGCAGCATCAAAGCAAATGCACTACCCTCAACAGGCAATCTTTGGTGGATTTCAATGTATTTCATACTAGGACAGCTGTCTTATCCACCATACTATCTCTCCACACTAAAATCTCCATTTTATTTATTTATTTATTTTTTTAGTGCCGGGGTCTGAATGCTTATAAGAGGCTCCAGAGCTACTCAGGCTCTGAACTCAGGGTTCACCCCTTGCAGGCTTGGGTGGCCATATGGGATGCCAGGAATCACACCCGGGTCAGCTGTGTTCAGGGCAAGTGCCCTACATGCTGTACTATCTCTCCGGCCCCATGTATTTCCACTTAAGGAACAACTTATATTCCTGTTAAGAATAAGCCCTGAGCACAGAGCCAGGAGTAAGCTCTGAGAACTGCTGGGCGTGTCCAAAAAACAAACAAAACCCAAAAATACTATTTGTACCTGGAAACCTCAGAACCATTTTATTAACCCATTACAACAAAGGGATGAAGAATTCACAGGAATCTAAGGTCCAAGCGAGCTTCCTGTAATAATGAAAATGCTCTTATCTGCATACCAATAATAGACTAAAGCATGTGACTTCTGAGGACTAGTGGCTAGTGAGACAGAAGAACTGAACTTTCCACTGTACCCAATTTAAATTTACTCACATGTGGCTAAAAGCTGCAGTATTGGAAAGCAGAGACTTTGGGGCCACAGAGAGTACAGTGGATAAGGGGCTTGCCGCGAACGTGCACAACCCAGGTTTGATCCCTTGTACCTCATATAATTACCTGGGCCTGCCAGGAGTGAGTCCTGCGCACAGCTGCGTGTGGTCCAAAATCTCTCTGTCTCCGTCTCTGTCTCTCTCCCATAGACACACAGTCCCACAGTGAATCATATCTGAATACTCTTGTAACTCAAAACCTAGCAAATCCCCATTTTGTCCAACAGGGTCGATGTCTTCAGGATTTAACTGCTACTGAGATCTCATCACATGACACATAGACAGCCTCAAATCCTACAAAGAAAGAATATTTCTGTTAACAGGAAGGAGCATGGCAATGTAACATGCAGAACATTAAATCAACTCCTGTGCAAGAAAAACTATGTTGGAACAACCGAAAGTCAAACAGAAACACACACACACACACACACAACCAAAAGTCAAACAGAAACACACACACACACAACCAAAAGTCAAACAGAAACACACACACACACACACAACCAAAAGTCAAACAGAAACACACACACACAACCAAAAGTCAAACAGAAACACACACACACACAACCAAAAGTCAAACAGAAACACACACACACACAACCAAAAGTCAAACAGAAACACACACACAACCAAAAGTCAAACAGAAACACACACACACACAACCAAAAGTCAAACAGAAACACACATACACACACACACACAAACACACAACCAAAAGTCAAACAAACACGCACGCACGCACAGAGTCACACAGTGTGCCCATTCCATAGGCTCTCCAAGGGGAGCTGTCAAATGGGAAGGGCACTCTGGAAATTCTTTCGATTCCATTTTCTGATCTATAAATCTGCTGAGCTGGCGCCTCCTGGCCTGCACTGCCCTGTCCCAGTACAAATCTGCTGTGGTGACTCACTGACCTGCCATATGGCAGAGGAAATCCACTCAGGAAAACAACGGACAGGTCTGCGGCTCATCACACTGGGCAAAGCTCGGCAGGCTGGCTTCTCTCTGATCCAGAAATGGAAAGCTCTCAAAAGCGACGACACACAAGAAAAAAGCTAACCTGGAGCCAGAGAGACGATCCAGCAGAAAGGTGCCAGCATTGAAGGCTGCTTGCCTGAAGGTGGCTGAAAGGAGCTTCCATTCCTGGCAATGCATATGATCAATCCCTGAGCACGACCTGGAGTGACCCCTGAGCACAGAACCAGGAGTGAGCCCTGGGTACAGCCGGTGTGCCCCTCCAGGCAAAACTAATTCAGCTCACACACAAGTCGAGAATAAAGAGCACACAACTTCAGGTATACTTGGTTCAAAAAACTATGTGTTTAGACTCCCCTCGGGGCCAGAGCGATAGCACAGCGGGTAGGGCGTTTGCCTTGCACGCGGCCGACCTGGGTTCAATCCCCGGCATCCCATATGGTCCCCCAAGCACCGCCAGGAGTAATTCCTGAGTGCAGAGCCAGGAGTGACCCCTGAGCATCACTGGGTGTGACCCCCCCCAAAAAAACCCTCCCCTCTCAGGTACATTATTTCAGAACAATCCCTAACACCCTCAGGAATGAAACAAACTGGAGTTCCTATTTTATTATGTACCTCTTTCTTTTGCAGTTCTCAAGGACTGTACCAGTCTTAACATTGCCACTTAAAACATATCACATCTGATGTGGCAGGCATACAATATTCAAAAGAGGAAAAACTTGCAGTGGTGAGAGTTAAAGGCCAATTCTACATCAATAAATAGTTTGACAGTTTTAATCTTCTGTATACCTTGGTCCATGGGAAATGTAAAACCTGACAAGTAATAGTTTTTAATTCTTTGAACAGTCATACTTTTTCTTTTCAAAATCTAAATAAGGTAATCAAGTAACTAGTGTCAGTTTTGAATAATTAAATTATAGAGGCATCACTAAACGTTAAGGGAAGGTAACAAAACATTTCTCATTCTTGAGCCAGAGAAATTGTACAGTGGGTAAACAAAAAAAAAAATCTCATTCTTGCCTTTCTTTACGAGAAACTTCTAGATTTTAGCACATCTTTTTCTTATTGTTGCTGTTCTGGGCCACATCCGGTGGTGCTCAGGGCTTATTCCTGGTTCTGTGCTCAGCGATCTCTCCTTGCTTGGGGGGACCATGAGCACAGCATTTTGAATAAGGTCTGCCTTTGACAGAAGATGACTAAACCGTGCAAATCATCTTGGAAAACCTATAGCTTGAAATATCATGTCTTTTAAGCATATAACTCCAATTCTTCTTGAATAAATAATATCTTAGTGGACCCTAACTGTATTAAATTCAAGTAAAATTTCTGGCGGTAAAAACCAATCAAAAAGAAAAAAGGAAGACTCTAATTTTACGAGATTTCCATTTCTTCTCTCATTGTACTGCTTTCCTCTCAGTTCTTCGATAAGGACTGTGGAATAATCCTGCACGGTCTTGGTGAGACCAAGTGGCATAAATTCCAGCTTCAGAAAGAGTAGACACTATGGTAACATGCTGACAGCCTTCATTTACATAAAAGAATACTAATTACGTGGCATCATCAACATCTGCGATTCTGCTCACTGCCATATGCGACAGCACTGGGTATTTTAACCCTTCAACTTACTGAATGTACCCTGAATTACGTCTACCACAAAAACCCTGCCAAGATGGTATACACAGAGAATACAGTTTTATAAGAAAACCAGCGTTAAGATGAATTGTTTCTTAG